TAGAACACTTGGCTATATACATAAGTTATAACGGTATTGTTAGCTGATCTGAAAGATACGATGGCCCAGAAGGCTCACAGTTCAGTTCTGGTTTACTGACAGTTCAGTTTTGTATTTGACAGTTCAGTTTTACATTTTAACAGTTCAGTTTTGGTTTTTGACACAGTTCAGTTTTAAATTTTGACACAGTTCAGTTTTAAATTTGTAAACAGTTCAGTTTTAAATTTATAAACAGTTCAGTTTTAAATTTGTAAACAGTTCGGTTTTAAATTTATAAACAGTTCAGTTTTACTTTTTCACACAGTTAAGGTTAAAAAGCTAGCTTATGTCGACATCGCTCTTGTTGTTTCTTGTCAACAACCATTAACGTGTTATTGTCAGAAACAGAAGACGTATGACTATGCCTTTGAATAACTATACTCCATGTATGAACGTTGACCAAAGAAGAGATGAAACAGAGCTTATTACAAGTTATTTTCAACAAGGTTTCACTAACGTTGAAAAACTGGAATTCCTCAAGCTACATGGAATAGAATTTAGCTCATCGACCCTTAAAAGAAGGCTGCAAAGTCTTGGTCTTCGAAGACGTATACCAGCTGATGAACAAGTTTCACAAGAAGATATTGAACGTATGGTTGAACACGAATTATCTGGGAGTAAATGCAACGTTGGATATCGGAAAATGTGGAAACACGTAATGACCAAGTATGGCATTGCCGTTCAGAGGGATGTTATTCGAAAATGCTTGGTAAAATTAGTTCCTCGAGGCGTTGAAAGTAGAAATAAGATTATTCATCCAGGGGTCCTAACCATATATGGCACATTGACGGCCATGATAAGTTGAAACCTTTTGGATTCAGTATACATGGATGCATCGATGGATTTTCAAGAAGGCTGATTTGGCTTGAAGTGGGTCCAACAAATAAAAATCTGAAGTAATTGGAAAATATTACCTCGATGCCATACTACCAATTGGAGGTGTGCCACAAAAGATGCGATCAGACAACGGTACTGAGAATAGCATTGTTGAAGCTTTGCAAATATTTCTGCGATCACAAGATAATGATGAACATTCTGGTCTTGCCAGTTTTTCTATTGGCACGTCTACATCGAATCAATGAATAGAAGCCTATTGGTCTCACCTTATTAGGGATGGGCCCAGGTGGTGGGTAAATTTCTTCAAAGACTACGTGACTTTGACTTGTATAACAATTCTGATCCTGTTCAAGTCGATTTGATACGATTTTGCTTTATGGACATACTCAGAGATGAATTACACAAAATTGCTGAAATGTGAAATCAATATATCATTGCCCCTAGCAAATTTGCAAATACTGTATCAATGAACCCAGAGGGAGGCCTGACGTGATATTTTTTTCCACATCTTTTTGATACAGAAGACTGCAAGCAAGAAATTGATCGGGACGAAGTAAATGAATTCTATAATAACTCATCATGATCAATGTGTGTGAATGATTTTTCGGATGAATTTGGGGAATTTGCCTTGTGTTGGTAATGAGAGAGCTTGGCCTGTCAAAACCAACTAATATCAAAGAAGCATTTGATCTTTATATAAAATTGCTACAAAGAATTGAGACAATTACTTAGTATAATAAATGTAACAAAACGTAGTTTAATTAATAGTGTAACAAAACCAACAGTAACAAATCCTTGTACAAGGTATTCTGTAATAAAGTTTGTTCGTTCACTGCAACCAGGTATATCAATCATGTTTCGCTCGCTACTCTGGTTTAAATAAATGATTACAAAGCCCAGTCGAATTGTAATCAAGACGCAACGTTTCGACACTCCAGTCTAGTGTCTTCATCAGGGGTGATCTAAAACTGCGATCGTGGCTTCTTAAATACCCAATGGATGACGTCACCTGCCAAGAAGATGCATATATTCTTCTGGCAAATAGGCGCCGTCATCCCTATTCAAAGCATGATGAACGTGAATATGTTCTAAATGTTTTAGGGGAAAACAATTAGCCAAAGCGTTTTCTTAATGATTGCCTGAGACCACCTGTTTGTAGGAACCAAAATAACTCCGAGGGTGATACCTCTGTTAAGGGTTTTGCAATAGTTCCATACATTCAAGGTGTCACAGAACCAATCAAGAGAATCTTAAATAATTGTAATATTAAGGTTGCCTTAAAACCCTATTTGACTTTAGGCCATATTTTCGCAAAGCCAAAAGATCCTGTTGAAAAAAAATCAGAAGACTCATGCTATATATTCTATACCATGCGGTGACTGCGACAAAGAGTATTTGGGTCAGTCTAAACGCCAGTTTGGTACACGGCTAAAAGAACATCAAAAGGTTGTTTCAACTTTAGACAAGGGAAAATCAGCTTTAGCCGAACATGTATGTTACACCAAACACGAGATTGCGTGGGAAAACTCTAAAGTAATTACTACAAACAATCGCTATGGTCAAAGACTTTGCCTAGAAGCGTGGCATATAAATATGAGTCATCATGCTTTGAATAGGGATGACGGCGCCTATTTGCCAGAAGAATATATGCATCTTCTTGGCAGGTGACGTCATCCCTTGGGTATTTAAGAAGCCACGATCGCAGTTTTAGATCACCCCTGATGAAGACACTTAGACTGGAGTGTCGAAACGTTGGGTCTTGATTACAATTCGACTGGGCTTTGTAATCATTTATTTAAACCAGAGTAGCGAGCGAAATATTCTGTAATACTTACAATATCAATGTTTAATTATTAATTGTCAATATTTTTAAAAGCGTACAAAATGTAGGATCAGAAGGGGATTAATGACTCACATATATTGTTCTCGTAAACTCTAACACCCTCGATAGCTCTAGTACGTGTAAAGGGTCGTAACAATGTTCGCAACAACAAACGGTTTTTGTATGTTATATTATATTATTGTTCGATTGTCTACAAAAGAAATGATTACATACATAAATAAACAACACATAAAAAGATAAACTAGAACTATAAACAAATATCAAAGTCTATAAATTACCCTTTCTATACGTTTGTCTTTTGGAAATGTACGTGCGAATACGTTGTTCTACGTTTGATCAAAACTTCTGACCTATGACTGACTGTCACTGCGGTCAGCGGTTACCTAAGCTTAATACTTCATGACATAACTTAACACTCCCCCTCAACTCAGACATCCAATTTATTGGGTGGTTGAGTTTCCAGAGGTATCACCTTCGTTTTCCTCCAGGAGACACAATCTTGCGACCGGTCTAACGTAATTTCCAGACGGGGTCTTCACTTCTGCACTTCGAACTCTTCCGTCTTTGCCAGGGAATGAACGCAAAACTCTCCCAGTGAGCCACTTACCACGCGATACATTAGGTTCTACAACCAGTACTAAGTCGTCCTTCTCCAAATTTTTGACTTCGTCTGTCCATTTGTTTCTTTTCGTTAATAATGGAAGGTACTCTTTAAGCCATCGATTCCAAAACATATTTGCGAGGACTTGTGCTTGCCGATATTTCTTCCTCGAGTTTATCTCACGATCACTCACCACGTCGAAGGGTGAATTCAGGTTGGGTCGATGGATTAGGATATGGTTGGGAGTCAGCGCCTCGAGGTCAAGTGGATCGGAGCTGACTGGTGTATTCGGTCGTGAGTTAAGGATACCTTCCACCTCTACCAATGCAGTGTGCAAGACATCTGAGTCCACGCGTCGATTTAAAAGAATAGCATGAAGAGCTCGTTTGCAACATTTTACCATCTTTCTACCGCTCCATTCATATGAGGGGCATTTGGTGGATGGAAATTCCAATCAGTTCCGTGCTTGGTAAGGTTCTGCTCTATCCGATTGTGGCCAAGCCGCTCCCATCCTTCACGCATCTCTCGCTCTGCTCCTACAAAGTTTGTACCTCGGTCTGAAGTGATTGTTTTGGGGTAGCCACGGCGATTCGCAAAACGAGTGAGACAGTCCAAGAACGCATCAGTTTCAAGTGTCTCGGCTACTTCCAAATGAACGGCTGTTACATGCATTTGCACAGCAAAACAACACGCACCACCTCTTTAACTCACTTCGAAGTGCTTAATGTAGATTGGACCGAAGAGGTCAACAATGGTATGCATGAACGGAGGTAAGAACGGTGTAAGGCGTCTTCTGGGCAGATTCCCCATGCGAGGTGGCATCGGCTTCGCTTTTTGCAGTAGAGACAATTATTTACATATTTCTTGATTTCCGATCTGCCATTCACTAGCCAATAGCGTGTCCTTATTGAGCTTAATACGTAGTCGGTTGGACCATGACTAAGTCGGTGATGGGATTCGTTAATGATTAAGCGACCAATCTCCGATTTTCCATCGACAACTATTGGGTGACGGGTTTCGTATGTTACTGGGGCGTCTTGTATACGGCCTCCGACTCTTATTAATCCGTCGGTTGCGTCGATAAACGGCGAGAGCTTGACTAGGCGTGAATTCTTGCCGATTGGTTTGCCATTAGTTAACGCTTCCACTTCGTGAGGAAAGCTTTCGATCCGTGCTTGTTGAAGTAATATCATTTCCGCTTGGTGCAAGTTGTCGTCTCTGAGGCTTTGGGTTGATCCAATCTTTCTCGCGTTCACCTTTTCACGCGTCAGGGCGATGAACTTTAGGACGTTTGCGACTACTCTCTTTGCTTTCTCGAAAGACGAGAATCGATTTAAGTTGACGATTGCTTGTTTTGACTCCTCAACTGCGGTCGACCGGCTTGTTTTCTTAGCTCCGGTTCTTCGTCGATTACCTCCCCCTCGTCAGGACGTCGGGGCCACATACTTTCAGCCTGATAAAGAAACTCAGGACCACATTGCCAGGTGCTTTCAGATGTTGTTTCTGGAAGTTTAAGCCCTCTTGTGCCGGCGTCGGCGATGTTCACACTTGTTGGAACATACTTTACTTGCACCCGTCTTTCACCATCTGCTTCTAACTTCTTGAGATCTTCTCCAATATCGACGATTCTATGAGCAACATAATCGCGATACCTGTTGCTGGGTTGGTGAATCCAGTGAAGCACGACCATAGAATCAATCCAGAATGTCACCGCTGTGATGTGATAATCTAGTTCCTCAATCAACGTGAGTGCCAACTTTGCCGCCATGCAAGCTGCATCTAATTCCATGCGTGGTATGGTCATTCTCTTCTTGGGGGCGGC